TAGTTAATATTCCGGACTTGCAAGTAATTTTGCCTTGAAAGAGAAATCTTTAATGGAGCCAGGTGGGGCATCTTTGGTGAGGTCCTGGTTGTTTGGAACACACGAGGTCACTTGCATAAGCAGCTGGAATGAAAGGATGTGGATTTTTTTCTCCCTATGGCTTTAAACTTGCTTCAGCAGTCTCTCTCTCTATGCTTTTTCTCAAAGCAGACACTGTTTCTGGTCTTCTGCCTTTTATGCTCCTTTCTTTGCAGTGTTTGTCCTTCTCTTCCCCTTGTCGCCCAGAGACAGCTCCACTACAGTCAGTTTTCTTTTGAATTATGATGTGGCCCTGGTGGCTCCCAGCTCTGTTGCTGCTTTGAGATGTGCTGCTGCAGGCTGGCCATGCTTCAGAAGGTGCCTGCCTTCCCAAATCAGCATTTACCTGGACTGGAGAAGCTTTAATGGATTTCTCCTAGTATCTAGTACAACAGTCAGTATTTTTGCATGGAATCTGCTTACATAGCTTGGATTTGCTGATTGTTTTTTTTTTTTTTTTTTTTCAACAAGTCACTGTTCTGTCATGACTGTCAGATGTGATTGCTGTTTAGCTTTTATTTTAGCCTATTGAGATACATTCATAGGAATATTAATTTGTTCTTTCCACATTGAAGCCAAACCAGGCTGTAATCCTTCTGAAAAAACTGAAATCACACCATTGACTTCCAGGTTTTGTCCTTTATATCCTCATTCCACAACCATTAACATCTGTACTTCACAGCTGCTGTTGTATAGAAACATCTCTGCAAATGTGATTTCAGATTTCTGCTATATGCTTTTATATATTCTCTCAGATCCTTATTCAAACTGTTCCTAATTTCTTGGCAAAATTAACTGTAATTGCTCTACCTAACCTCCTTGCATCAGTGCTAAACCAGTCACTGAGCTGTTTTCCTTCTCTTTCATTCAAAGACCTAAAACCAGAATGAGCAACCTAGTGTTTTCATACTAGAGAGTATTGTGTTGTGTACCCTCTGCTGTCAGAAGACTCAACTCAAGAGAGCAGTTCTGTACTGACAAGCTGAACTGGAAAGGAACTTTGCTGTCTGTCTTCCCTGTAACCCCTCCATTGCACAGACAGGGTTTTGTTGTGCCAGCCAGCTGCCTTGTATTTTTCTCTGGGAATAATGACGTAGTTTGAAGAAAGCCATCATTTGGTTAAGGATTGTTAGGATAGATTTAAAAAAAAACAGCATAACTTCCAGTATGTTGCAAAGATTCACTAATATATATGGAAAAGAAAAGGAGAACAAATGTAACGTATGAAGACATTTGTGAAAAAATAAAAATCACACACCTTTACCTTAAGAATTATGTTTCTTTTGTGATGGATCACACTTGACCGAGTTACTTTTACCACATTTCTCCCCTGTGAGAGCTGCCCTGTCTCCATAATTTGACTTTTTGTATAGAAGGCAACAATTTGTTCTTTTCTTTTACACATTTTTCCCTCAATATTCCTGGTGCCAGGGGGACAGATCTTTACATAACACGCAAACTGTGTTTATGGATTTAATGTAAAACAAACTCAATATTTGGTGACATCAATGCAGAGATTCTTTTTAATCTCATGGGCCTTGTTGCCCATAACATGTAGTATTTCTAGTATTTCTTTTGTAACATTGGCTTGGAGTTAATACCTAAATCTGATTTCAGCTAGGTCAATGCAGAATTTTTTTATTACACACTGCTTTGCTTTGTTTTATCAATTCCTTTCTTAATAATTGTGCAGATCAGGAAAAAAACCTGTGAAGCTAACTGACTTCTCTTTCTCCAGCCCTTTCTCCTGACTTTTTCCCTCTTCTCTCTCTTTATGTTGCCTTGATTAAGGCTCTCTTCCTTGCCTTATTTTCAAGATTGTGTTTTGCAGTGCAGATAGCAAAAATCTTGGTTTTCATCTATTCTTTGGATCTGGAGATAAAGTTTCCTAGTCCATGTGAATGGAATAAGTTGTCTTTTACCTAAAAACAGAAAGAGACAAAGTAGCACATTTCATGGATGTTAAATCTCAACTTTACATTAAAACATGCATGCGTAAACTATTTTCCTTGAATTATTTTATTGTATTGTGAACGCTATATTGGTTATGTATAAACTCTACCCCCAGCAATGTAAGAATATGCAAGCTTCCCTGCTTCCTGCAAACAGTGATACTGATACTGTGTAACTTGGGAATAGTGATTTAATTTTATTTGCTTACATACAGAACAGGGTTAATGCAGCCTAGCAGCTTCATAGCTATGAACATCAACTAATATAAGTCTTATTTGTAAACAGAAATTATATTGACAAAATTGCAGAAAGAGCACTAATGAGGCCTAAGTGGCTGGAGGAAGTAAATATTCTGTTTTGCTTTGGTGAGTCAAAGTGATCTCATTTTATACTCTTTCTAATTGCATCTTTGATATTTTCCTGCTCAAGATAATTACAAGTGTGAGAATAAGGACTGAAACTACTGTCAGCTAAACTCTTGCTTTGTAAGACCTCACATTTACTTTTTATATCAGAAGAAAAGGAGTAATAGGATACAATACTTAGTTCCTAGGTAGACAGAGAGCAATGGACAGATACTTCTTTGTGTGTGTGTCTCTATTAGATGCTGTCATGCTATGAGACAGCCTGGATTTTTAATGATGTCTTTCTGTATTCTGTTGTCAACTGGCATACTGTTTGCACCAGTAAGCTAACGCCTTCCAAAGATGCCCTGGGGAGCTATTACAGAGAGGAATGCATAACACAAATTTCATATTTTGCTGTTCTGTCATATATTGTCTCTGGCATAAAGGGACATTTAATTCATCTGGCTATACACTTTTCATAGGGTGTCACATTCTTCTGGTATCTTTTAGATCTTTCTGACTACAACAAATGCTCATTTGTAACCATGATACTGACATCCTAAATTAATTTGTTTCACTTTTGCTCAAAATAGTTTTATTTTTGATAGTCCTTTCAGTGACTTTTTCTGGCAAGTTTGTTCATAGAAATATGTTTGCTTCTGGTGAACACTTGCCATGGGGTTTACTCAATATTTCTGAGAATTATTTAGACATGTGTAGTGGCTTTGAATTTCCAGTGTTAAATAATGCATGCACAACTTGCAGTGACCAGTTTTCAACCAATCCAGACTGAAGCCTACTTACATAAAACCATTCATTAAATCATTTAAACCAAGGAAGAGATGCAGAGAAGTGGTCTCCTGTTTGCACATGCTTCCAGAGCAGAGGAAAGGCTTGGGCATTTGTTACAAACAAAACAGACTGCTGGTTATAGACTTATGATAAATCCATTCCTTTTTCCTTTCAAAAGAGAGCTGAATGTTGTAGGTCTTTCTCATGACCACTGGACAAAGATCCCATGTGGAACCTAGCAGTCCTTAAATACGTGTAGTCAGTTTCATCATGATTTTCCAGTTCCAGGGAGTTTCTTTATGGTTGTTAGCCAAGATACCCTGTCTCCACAAAGATGGTTCCATAGCTAAAACTGATCTTTTTGTAGATGGGAACCTGAGATACAGACTTAATTACTTGTTTACATTTTGGTAATAATCTCAGCAGTACTAGGAAAATCTCAGGCAGCTTTACTTTTAATAATAGATACAATTAACTGGAACCCCATTATTTTCAACATTATTCCAATGTTTCCAATATTAAGCAATAGAAAGGGAGATGTCTTAGCAGTCTTCTCTCTGCTCTTCACTAGTGTCATTGTACACGATTTTCCTCCTTGTGGAGAATATCTTAATCTGTCTGTTACTTCCCATTCTGTTGATATTTTCTGATTTCTTAACACAGATTGATTGCATTTGCATTCTGTTACTATTTGAGCACTTGTATTTCTTAGCACGAAACAGTTGACAAAAAATATACTGAATGAATGCACTTTTTATGTAAAAACTCTGCACTTGTTCCTGGATATCCATACGTCTTGTGGATTTTGAGTTTACCCAATTCACTGGAGAACAAATACTAGAGATTAAACCCCACCTACCAAACCCACCTGCCTCCAAAAATTCTAATTACATCTGATTCGTAAGTCTCCAGAGATTTTCTAGGAGAATAGCAAGTTTCCAGTGAATATAGTACGAGGACTGCTCTGAAAGTAATGCCTCCTATTTATTTCCTTGGAGATGGAAAATGAAAATGGATATGTACACTTCTAAATAGAATCCTTGAGGGAATTCTACATAACCTGGTATAACTTTCAATAGTAGGAAGTCACACTGTTCTAACTTGTGTGGCTCTGAAATAGATTTGGAGGAATGGAAGATTTTTGGACTCAGGCTGTTTATTGGTCCCTTTTCTGGTCTCAGAGAGCAGATTGACAACTACCAAGTCTGTTATTCTTACTATATCAAGTTTCAGCATGAAATGGAGTAATACTGTGTGCATGGGCAGAAATTGCATAACTGTATCTGATGCCGGCTGTAAAAATAACACATATATGTTATGTGGTTCAGAAAGTTGGATAGTTAGACTTGAAAAAAAAACACCCAAACTGGGTCTTTTAACAATGGATTACTAAGCTTAAAGAACTCTTCCTTATTACAGAGATAACTGCACCATATGAAGAGTCATACAAGAAGCATCCCAAGAAGTATCTACTCCTAGTCATAAGCTAAACATATACTTAGGGCTCCACAACATCATAAGAAAAAAGTTTTCCACAATGTCACTGTGTGCTTCTTTATCCTTCCCCTTATCTCCCTAATAAGTAACATGAAGGCTTTAAATTCGTGCTAAAATGCTTAAGGGTTTTGAAAATAGTGTCAGTAGTACAAATTTTGGTTTTTAGTGCTATGAAGTGTGCTACTACGTAAGTTAAGCTGTGTTTATTTTTATTTTCCTTTATAGATCTAAGGAAGGATTTGTAATTGTATTCTACAGACATTTCTGTACTTGTCCATTGTAGAATTATTGTTTGTTTCTGAATGTGCATTGTTGGCTTTTTTGTTTTAAAAGGCCTTGATGATTGCCTCCAACAATACATAAAAAATTTTGAAAGAGAAAAGATCAATGGTGAACAGCTGCTACACATCACTCACCAAGAGCTTGAGGAACTGGGAGTTACTCGCATTGGCCACCAAGAACTGATACTGGAAGCAGTTGATCTGCTTTGTGCATTGGTAAGTAATTTTCTGCATCGCTCATCTTAGTTATGTGGGTCTAGAAATTTCCAAGCCAAAATTAAAATAGTGCAGACTACATTCTCTCGCTGTGTGCTTGTACAGAAACACTGGCTTTGCCAGATTAAAGGACAGGCTTCTTTCAGCTATAAAGAAACTATATGTATCCATATGATTCTATGATTTTATGATTGTGTATGATGGTCTATTATTGCTCTTCCTCCAACTTATTAGGTCCTGTATTCAAATGCTGTTGACTATTACTACTGGCATCCATATGGTTCTGTAATTATACACCATATGCCCCTGCATTCCACAGACATTTGCCACACTGCACTGAACCAAGTACACTTGAATGTTTTAACCATGCCAACGTTCAAAAAGATTGTACTCAGGAACAAGAAGGTAATGTTTATTAGACTGGAAGATTGTTTAAAATGAGATTTAAGACAAGATCAGGATGATAAAATTGACTGTATCCAAAGAACAGGCATCTATGTTGATTTAAAGCTTCCTTAGCAACCTGCAAGCATCCAAATTTTGAATAAAACTCTTTTTTTTTTCATATAACAGGTTATTATTTCTCTTAGCCTCTGAACAAAATATTTTATATCAGAAACTGTTTTTTTCTTTTATATTATTCCTGACAGAAAATCAAATGGATTCTATTAACTTAATTCTAAAGAAAAATGTGCTTGCTTTGTTCAAGAAGACAGATGAAAGAATGTAGAAAATATATCTAAAAATCTAAAAGTATGTAAATCGTAAGGGACAGTTCCAGAATTTTACCTCTTTATCGTGAGTTCTACTTTTTCATCAAGTCACTGATCTTGTGGAATTCTGATAACATAAATTGCCTCCAACAAGGCAACTTGCACTAAGGAATAAAAGAGAAAACAATTGCATCAAAATGCACTTGATGTTCCAGAAGAAAAAAACAGTATGAAGTACCTTTTATTGTGCACATGCTTATTGCAAGTGCTCTTAATTACAAAATATACTTCATGTAACTTGACATCTTCTTCTACAAATTAAGCAATTTCTATGTCAAAATACGTGAAAATAATAAATAAAACTATGTTAAAAGTAGGAACACGCTTCTGAGCTTGATGCAGGCATACCTGTAAATTGGTGTGCAATGCATAACCTGCTAAATTGTATGGATTCGGAATCATTTTAGAATTAAACTCAGATGTTTTTCAACTAAATAATTGCCTTCAGATAAAAGGAACGTAAATATCCCCTAGTGTTATTTTATTTAAAGAACAATACAGTGCTGTTGCCTGATACCAGTAAGACATAAAAGACCCAGGAAATTTCTTCTGGAAAAAGAAAACTTCATTCAAGAGTGCCTATTAGGAGGACCCTCACTGCTTTCTTTTCTTTTTCTTTTTTTTCTCAATCTCTCTTTTTTTCTTTTTTTTTTAATAAAAGAATCTTACCTCCTAAATGCTGGCCCCACTGCAGGTCAGCAGTGCAGCTCTCATCCTACTGTGCTTTCCCATGACGCTGTTATTTTTCCTTTTAAAGCAGGGTTGGGATTTTCCAGCTCCTGGTATCTGTTATTTAGCCTCCTGCCTTTAAGCCCTTATCCTTCCTTCCATCCTTACTCTTTCTAAAACTCCTACTTTAAAAATACATTTTGTTCGTTGTCTAAATTTTTATCTTCCAGTCCATTCCATGTGTTTTCTGATGAATGAATCTTTGCTGCCTGTGGCTCTGCTTTTGGGGGTATTCTCTTGCTTCTGACATTTCTGCCTTGCTGCTATGTACAACGCATTCTTTAGCCTTTGCAGCTTCCTACTATGCAAGGATCACAATTAAAACTTTTACAAGATTAAGTAATATATCTATTCTTAACCTATAATAATTTAAGTCTATTTAACTGAAAACCATAATTGAAAAATTATTTTAAATAATGGCAGTGGTTGAATGGTAGGAGATCTGATGCTGCCTTTATTAACACTGAAATACTCTTCTAAAATATTACTGTAGTGCCCAAAGTTTTGAAACATTAATCTGTTATTGCTTGTTTAGGTGAACAGTGAGAATTGTGGATTGGAGATAGGCGCTGTAATGGATATTTAGTAGGCCAGCCAGTCTTAAGAAAAAAAATGGGGTAAAACTAAACATAAAAAAAGAGGGATCTGTATCTTACCCATGTCACTAAACAGGAACTAGAATAACTTCATACAAGAAACTGTTTGAATCAGAATGTCTTAAAGACTCCTAATTTTCTGAGTTCTATCATAAGTAAATGGAATGCAGCCTGGTGCAACCCCAACCACTGAGATGTTAATACACTAATGAGCTGGGTGTGTGTTTTTACATATTGTCAGAATATACAAAGTACCAAGTAAGCGTATGTTTAGATTCATACATATAGACGCATTAAAAAATATTTTTTCAAAACTTGTTATGAAGAAAATGCAGAGGAAACATCTCTTGAGGCAGCCCTGCCCAGCACGCCATGTTCAGGAGGTGGCAAGAGCAGGGCTCGCTCCCTCTGCCCACAGCACTCACAAACCCTGTGCTTCCAGCAGAGCATCCACCGTGCTCCGCACCGCGCGCTCCCAAGCGCAGATAGCTGTGCTCCTGTTCGCATCAATGCCCATCAGTCCTGCTTTGTGCTCTGCGTATCATCCGCTTGCTGGGCCACGTCAATGAGCATTGATTTATTTTTTTTTTTGTACATGACATTCTAAATTGATTTCTATTTGGCAATTGGCAGTGTCCAAGTTGTGTGACCTATTTCTTACAGGCAGCATTAGTGGGATGGGATGTTCCACTCCATCGTAGCAAGATGGGTTATATAAGACTTTAAGCAGAAGTGTTTCCAATGTGCTGTAGAAATCTCTCAGGTAAGCTTAGGCTCAGCGATGCATCAGAAGTTCAGCTGCACATTGGCCATGATTTCAGCTGCAGAACAGTTACATTATTGCTTCAGGAAACCAGGGGAAATTTGACTGTCTCCTCTCAGGCTCTTGGAACACACCAGAAGTGCACGTTGCGAAGCCCTATTTCCCATATGCACTCCCTTAGGCTCTGGCCATCAGCCCACGCTGCCTTTTGGCAGGGGTGGGCAATGCTTGTTTGTTGGGGGTTACGCATCAAAGAGCAGTGCCCCTGCTTCTGTCTGTGATCTGAAGCAACACACAGCACATACGTAACTAAATGCCCAGGTTTCTAAGAGCAAAAGCAAACTAAAAATAGGATACAGTTCTGTGTTTTTCTTCCCTGTCCTGAACAAGCTATTAATTAGACTCAAATGCAAGCCATTGAAGGCAGGGAAGGCTTTGTTGAGGAATCCGCTATACGTTTGCCCTTTATGATTTTGTACCACTTTTCACAAATGAATAGAATTATGATCTAATATTGTATCTTGATTAATTGATTCGAACGACAATATTGTTTCTGAATAAAATCATTAAAGATGTTACTAATATATACAATCTCAGTGAATGTTTTTTCTTTGGAAAGCTCAGTCCAGAGCATTATCTAATTAGGCATGAATTGTGAGAGTCCTATGTAGAAAAGATTCTCTGTTGGAAAATGATATGCAGTATGAAAGAAGGTGATATGAGAAATCTAAAAAGAGAATACTGGAAGTATTTGTTACACCCAAGCATAACAGAAATATATGTTTTTATCTTAAAAATAACATTTTTAAAATGCAAGAATAATCTGATTTTTGAAAAGGTAGAACTGAGGGGCAAAAGGTGAGGGTATCTTTCACTATAGGGGAGAAAGAGCTGGCACTTTCTTGGGGTTGCTCGAGGCTGAATTTATGTGCTACGAAAGTAAAAGTCATAGGTGAGCCATACTTTCAGTTTCAATTCTTTGACCATTCTAGAAAGATTTTTTTTTTTTTTTTTTGAGTACTGTTTTAATTATGAAGATAATTGGAAATGATAGCTGTGGTGAAAAAAATGTATCTTAAGCATCAAAATCCTTTATTACCACTGTGGTCAGAAACTGCTTTGTAGTTATTTATTTGAAATGACCTAAATAACATCTATGGATGAAAACACTCAGACCATTTAGGCTTTGTATTGTAATTTTATTAAAGTGGAAATGCTAATCAGGAAATGTATTGAAGGACTAATTGCACGAAGGCATTGATTGACTGAAGTAGTAGCAGAGCCTGGGGAAAATAATTATTTGAGAGATGGTAAAATATATTGGGGAGAAAGAAGTGATTTTGGGGTCAACGTGGCTTGTTTTTCAAATCTATGTATTTAAATTTAATTTCATTAGGACAATTGAAGTCGGTATGTAGTAAAGGTCCCCACAATTAAAACATAAATATACTACTAGGACTTTGATGTCTGGAAGGAAAGTGAATGGAAAAGGACAAAAAGCATGTTCAAACATAGATTGCATCTAAAGTAATTCAAGGTACAATTAGTTCATAGGCATTCAGCTAGTGAAATTATGTGCTGTGATATCTTTTAAGGAGAAATAAAGATTACAAAAATTCTCCCTGCATTTACTGCAAAGGCTAGCAGTCCAAGAACAGCAGTTTTCCTGCTAGAAGGCAAATTACTCACCTGTGCATCAACATGTCTGTAACATCTGGCACAAGTTTAATTTGCTAGTATATTTACAATATTGTTTAAGCTATGCATGTATGGGGCATAGCTACCAAACAAATATGATTGTTATTTTTTTTTCCCGAACAAATGACCAGGCCCATCACTGATAAAATTACAACAATTATGGTATTTTAGTTTGGCCAGGCTGAAAGCAGTTTGCAGGCATTCACTGGGAGGTGCACCATGCTGAAACGACACAGCCAATCTTTCACAGCTGTCTCTGTATCTACCAATGAAGTTGTTTCTTCAGTACTAAAATCACTCAAGTTTTCCTTAAAGTAATACTACTTTCCAGTGGCTGTAGCTACAGTGATCTCTATTTAGATGCTTTTCATCTTTTCTGCTGATTCTTTTTTGCTTTGTCAGTATTGGAAGCACTCTGGGAAGAATTTTTCATTATTTTGC